TGTATAGAAATGTTCTACCCTCTGCTTTAACTTGATGACTCTACATTCCTATTCTAATGCTTTATCATAAAATAGAGTCATTTCATTTGTATTGTAATACATTGTTGAGTTTGCAGTCTCATAACTAAAACAGAACTTCAATTATCCAAACTTCAATTATCTTGATAGTTGATAATTGATAATTGATCTGAATCGCATACAGAAAGAATTAAAAAAATATATCATATTACAGTGTCAGCGCTCTCAGAAAAGTAACTAACAGACAAAATAAACTAACCTCAATAATGCACCTTGGTCAAATTTTTGAAGCGACTGGAAATGACTAAATAAAAAACAAACTAGTTCAGTCAAGTTCAGACCTGCTCCTCATTTCCAGCGATACCTCAGGCGCCGTGTATGTTTCTGTCAGACCTGTTCAGACTGTCAATTCCGCTTCCAATGCAAGAGCAGCCTTGGCCATAGTATCCAGATATAACTGTCTCTGTTCACAAATTGTACTTTTTGTGTAAAATACCTGTTTTTGTCCGCTCACAGTTCAACCACTATCCCGGGGAGATTCTACGATTCTGACGTTCTCTGATGCCGAGGAGACCATCAACGACACAGAGCTGGTGGATGCTAGGGACTTGGTATTGGAGCAAGAACTCAGCCTAGCTGATCGGTATGTTAAGTAACTAGATTCAACCTTTTAACTCACCTTGAAAAGTCCAGGCACATAGCACACAAAAAGTTCGCGACACAATTTATCTGATATTTTGCCCCTCCAAGGGTACTTCTTCAGAAGAAAGTTGAATAAACTTACTGTACAGTAGAATTCTACCTTGTCAAGGAAGCCTAATTGGGAGGGTAAAAGCACATAAAGTGAGTCGTTATTTCTAAACGACATGGTTTTTAGGTGAGGTCAATAATTCAGTTAGATAAGTATTTTAGGGCATCACTCATTTTTATGGATGCATAGCTAACTCCTCTAAGAACTAAGACGTTTTGATAATTGAAGGCACACCAAAGTCCACCAACGCTTCACTTCAGTTAAGTATTTTTGGGCATCATTCGCCTTATTGAAATCAGGAGAACACAGTCCTTGTCACCACAGTTCATTGTATACACACATTGATAATAAATATAAAAATAAATAAAATTACAGACTAAATTTCTCTAACTTCGACATTTTGCCGCACCAATATCAACGTGCGGCCTTTTCAGTCGTGGTTAGGCACTTACAACGTTAACGTGGGAAAAATTACCTTGAAAACGCTGCACGTTGATAATGATGTGGTGAAACGTCGGGGTTAGAGAAGTTTAGTCTGTAATTATATTTATTTATATTTTTTATCAATATGTGTATACAATGAACTGTGGTGACAAGGACTGTGTTCTCCTGATTTCAATAAGGTGAGTTATTCTCAAATATACTTCTAACTGAAGTGAATTGTTGGTGGACTTTTTGTGTCCTTTTGTCAATTCCTTAGTTATGTCATTTTATTTCTTTTATCAGATGTATTTCAACATGATATGTCCATTTTTAACAACAAAAGAAGAGGAAAAGAAAAATGTGTGCCCTCCTCCTCTATACTAATGTAAAAAGAAGCAAAGCAGGTGTAGTGTGTAATCCCAATTCAACTCACTAATACCTTCCACCCAAGCTAACTGTTTATCTAAGATGGGCTATCAACCCAGTTGAGCTGATTATGCTTTCAAACAAAACGCTGATGTTAGATGGCGTTGCAACCCTAAAAAATACAGCTTATTCTAGGGAGTTATTTTTTAGACGTTAGAATTTCTATCAAAAATGTGTGTAGTAAGCATAAATTAAAACTGTAATTGTATTTAGAAATGAATAATCTTTTTTATGATGCCCTGATACATCTCATATTAGCATATCTTAGCAGGAAACTAGGATTTTTTGAGAGGGTCCACCATTTTGGACATGTAGAAACTCTCTTCCTTAGTTGAAAATGCTGTCAGCGACAGTGAAATATTCTAATGTTTTGTGTATATATTTATACAGTTTTTTGTTTCCTGTGCCAGTTTGGACTCTTTCCCATTCAAGTAAGCCTGCTATCCTCTCAAAAAATCCTAAAAACCTAGGCCCTTGTGCTACACCCTTAGCAGGAAACTAGTATAGCTTGAAATTGAAACCAACAATAATTGGGTTACAGGAGAGCCAAAAAAGAGATACGGACTTTGGAGAATGAGTTGGGTCGCTGGCAGGTCCTGGTTGACTCAGTGACTGGCATCAGTCTCATGGACTTTGACAACCAGACGCTGGCTGTACTGAAGGGTCGACTGGTGCGCTACCTCATGCGATCCAGAGAGGTAAGGAACTGTAGTAGAACCAGCTCAAACCTAGGGGGAAGGTCGCTTTGGGCAACTAAAATTTAAATTTATATTTTATTTGATTACAAGCACTGAAAGTGATACTTTCCGGTGTACTCAAAGCCGAACACAAAATGTCACAAGGGAAGCAAAGCCGAGCATATGAGAGTTTAGTTAGTGTGTTATGAGTGGTACTTTTCACCAGGATTCAGAAATAAAAACATACAGAATAACAGTACACAGAAAATAAAATGTATTACAGTATATTATATTTCTTCTCTGGTAGGGTTTTTTGCTATCTCTTTTGCCTGTTTTCATAATTTTCAGGAATTTTTAAACATTCTTGGTGAAGAGCTCAAAGCCAGAATGGGTTTGATTTTATTTTTGATAGGAAGATCAGACTTACCACCTGTACACTGGGCAATTTTCCTAAATAGGAAACACATTTATATGAAAAGAAAAATTGGAATATACTTAAATTATCAAAATAAGTTATTTAGTTAAGCCTGCTCTTCCTATAAAAAAAGTAAAACCTGACATTTCAATTGGGTAACTTCTCCCTGATCACTATGATTATCAGTTAAGCAGTTTTTCAGTTGCTCCTCTTTCTTCCTTGGTGTAGTTTCAAAAAGTTTCAACACCACTTTCTGAACACATTTGGATTCTATATAAAGTTTTTGGTAAAACCATCTTTCTACAAGTCTTAAAAGTGAACTGTTTTTTTGCAGATCACGATTGGCCGGTCCACAAAGGACCATTCCGTGGACGTCGACCTCACACTGGAAGGACCCGCGTGGAAAGTTTCCCGGAGACAAGGAACTATCCGGCTACGCAACAACGGCGACTTCTACTTGGCCAGCGAGGGAAAACGGGCGATATTTGTGGACGGTAGACCCATTCTGGCTGGCAACAAGTACAGGCTAAATAACAACTCAGTTGTGGAGGTGTGTTAAACTTTTAGTGAATCATTAAATGAAACATCTAAACGGAAAGTTACTGGACCAGTGTTTGGGTTGTTTACTAACGCCTTCATTTTTAGAAAATTGTTAAAACTTGCTAATGATTTAAAAAAAACTAAAACTTGGTTAAAAAAAATATATTCAGTATAAATTGTGTGTAAGTTATTGCCTGAATCTTTTCATTAAACTTAGGAAGGAGCATTTAGAGATCTTTTACAAGTATTTTTTATAAGCCATGATGTGTCATAATTTTAGCTGTTTTATCATATAAAGGGATTCTCCTATCATCGGTCCATTCGAGGAGGGTCATCGAGAGGTTAAGATCTTTGATTCTTTAGCATAAATGTTTTCAGTTTAACAAAAATATATAAAAATTGTCACTTTGTCAAAGACAACCTTGACAAATCACCAATTGCCCAAGGAATAGGGCCTAATCCCATGTTATTAATGATAGTTAATCAACCCTATGTTTGCAGGTGGCTGGATTACGGTTCATATTTCTTGTCAACCAGGAATTGATTGGAGTCATTCGCCAAGAAGCTGCTAAACTTCAACAGCAACCATCTGCTAATTAGAGATCATTGCAAGATGATATGAAAAGACTTGATGTTCAAAGTTTTGTTGGACATAAGTTGCTGCCCGTACATACGTTTTGACAGTTAGTGGTTTCTTTTAACATCAAAATAGTAACGTTTTAAGTTTTAACTCAATATTATAATTTTATTTTTGATCAAATGGTTTTCTTTGATACAAAAACGAGCATAATGTACCTTTTTATGCATGAAACGATACAATAAAATTGTTCCGGGTGATATTTAGTTCTAGCTGTCCCTTGAAATAATATTCAGATACGACTGATAATATGTAAATTACTGTTACTGTTATAATTCTAATTGGTTGGAAAATTTGCTACAATTGGTTATGTAAAACATTTTTTTAAATTGGTTTTTAGGTTGCATTTAATCATTTAAGGATTTCAAGGAATGCTATTTGAATGGTAATGTTTCATTGTTCGACAATTGTGTGGCACTAAGTTCATATGGCCTGGTGTAAACTTGAATTTTTTGTTTAAACAGTACCTTTGAATTAACTGTGTTGATTTCAACTAGTTCTTTAATCTTTATTCTGTTGATAAATGTTTCATGTGAATGTTATCTACCTCTTGATTTACTGTTTTGCATATTATACAAGTTTGATACAGTGTTCGTAAACGGCGAGTATGTTGTATTTTTGTATGTTTCTAATACGCTCGTTCATGTAAGACTTGAGCTTGAGATGTTTATAATTTTAGCATTAGCTTTCACTCAGTACATTTTCTATGTAGTCTTGAATGTAGTGAACATTTACAATGAAATTTTGTAAGGAATAAAAATTACAATTATTTCATAACTTGTAGTTTTATTAAGTCCCTGATTTATTTCTCTTACTGTTTTGATATTTTCACAAAGCTTATAGTTTCAGTTTCAATAAAGAAATCATGTTACGGGGATACTGATAGTCAATCTATATTAGGCTCAATTCCTTTCCTTCTAACCAATTCCTATTACAACATCTCTCAAGAACTGTTATCGTAATAAATATCCCTAAGGGTTTTAAAGTTTTGATTTAAAAAAAGGAAGGCTCATTGAAAATAATGTGTCAAATTCCACATGTTATCCGTTCTAATATTAATCCCAGGCTAGAAACTAGCTTAAAATTTTACAAGGATAAGAAATAAGATTCAACATTTTATCAACAATGTATAATACAATCCTTTTAAATACTAAAACAAACATTAAATAATGAAGGAATAGAAAAATATACATTAGTGATCCAGAATAAATTAATACAGTGTCATTATAGAGTCGAATGGATAGGTTTGGTACCACTTAAAATTACGGTAAAGCTTGGCTCAGAATTGTCTTGGCCTTATAAAGATTGCAGCTGAATCATAACCTCCGGTTTCAAAAACGATTCTTCTTTTGTCTCGCCGACGGACACAAACAATAATATCGATGCTGGAACTAAATGTAGTTCGAGCAAGTTTTTCCCATAATCCCCTTCAACCAGACGATGGCCGGTCCCTGTGGTCAGTACAAATTCATTTTCTGGTGAAACAACATTTTCTTTCACAAATTCAATGATGTCACTCAACTTCTCATACACACCAAAGGTACCCTGGAACCATTGAGCATGTATTACAATAGTTAGCAAATTGTACATAAAATGGTTTAAGTTCAATACAACACAACAAATTAAAAAAAATAGATTTGTAAATTAAAATAAACTTGGGATGTTATTGAAACTATTTATTATTTAACATAAGCAAAAGCTTCAATGAACTTTTAGATGTTGGTGTTTTCTATTTTTTACTAGCAGATGAATTCAACTAATTGTATTTATACATCAAATCACTGTAAGAACATAATGGACTACAACTTTTGACTATTGATACATAGTCAATGCTTCAACATAAAGGGAGGACTGCCTGCTTGAACCACTAATTAGTAAATTTTAGATGAAAAGATGAAGGTAACAAAAGCATGTTAAAATAAATTTTACTTAAAAACACGTAATTAACTTTGGAAATATACCTGTAAAAGAATACCATCTGGAAAGCGAATCCGAATGAGGGCAAACTTGTACTTTTTCATTTCCCTTTGTTCTTCCTTTTCTCTCATTGCTTTAGTTCGAAGAACCATACTATTTTCTATCCTTTCCGTTCTGTAAATGAAAAATAGCATCAATTAGATTAGACAATCATCTTAATTTTTCATACTTTCTACACCATCATATTTTACATTAATTGATTGTATACAATTCAAATTATAGTACACCAGTAAGATCTTCACTTGTTAATTTAAATATATTTTTCCTACAGTTACCTAACACAGTTACCTAGTACATGTTCTCTCACTGATTTGAGAAAAGCAAAGTGGCCAATTCGCTCATCAGTGAGACAATGTTAACATTGTCTCACTCTAATTACTTTGTCTCACTCCAGATTTGCAACGTGAAGGCACGAAATAGTGAGCGCGTAACATGCAGGCAACGTCGTATGCACGCGAAATACGTTGGCAGCACTGGCTGTAAATCAGCTGGTCAGCTGTTGTACTGTTGTATTTGTCACTTCACATTAAATGTTATATTAAAAGTTCACTTCTGTGTAAAAATAGGTTATGTTTCTTCACAAATTTATTTGTTTTATGGTAACTGTAGGAAAAGTATAATGTGCAACTCGAGTTCAAAGTACAATTGCCTCACTCGAGAAACCATTCCTAACTCGCCTACGGCTCGTGAGTAAGGATTTCTCTCGAGTGAGTCAATTGCTCACTTTTCTCACTAGTTGCACAAATAACTAGCCTATTCTTAATTATATTTTAGGGTAAAAAATAAGATAAACCAATTTTTCCCATCAAACCCTGTTCCCATAGTCCGATCATGCTTGGTTCGCAAACTTGTTCCAATTAACGTAGGTTTACAGTGTTTGCACGTTGGTAAAATTTCATCCGATTATTTTTACTCATGTTACTGTGCTAACGGACACATATATATATGAGTGGATGGAATTTATGGCCTCTGGGGACATGAAAACAATTAAATTGGTCTCAAATCTAGGTCTTTACCATGAGATCCATGGTAATAGCTTATTCCCTAAAGGAAAATTCGCTAATGTATAAAATCTGGATTACAAAAGAGCTCATTAGTTAGGCTACGGCCACACGGGCGTTTTTTCACGCAAGAACGCAGCGTGAAAAAACGCAAGAAATATGAGCAGCATTAAATGAAATGAGGTATGCCACACGCAGTGTGTTTTCCCGCAGCAGCGGGCGCCTATTTGTTTCAATGCTACTCTAATTTTTCGCGTGTTTTCACGCTGCGTTTGTGCGTGAAAAAAACGCCCGTGTGGCCGCAGCCTTAATGCTACCTTAAGTAAAGATGTCAACAAGTTTTGTGACAACCATGCCTAGTTTGCCGAAGGAGTCAAGGGATTCAACTCATATCACAAGTGAGCTTTACCTCAACTGCTGTTCCCTCTTTATCTCCTCGGGAGTGAGTGTGTAGAAGTCAGAAGGCAGCTGGGTCTTCTGAGCAGCCTGGGACGGCAGCAGCACTTGCATGTTGCGATCCAGCTCCAAGGATATAGGCTCCGCACTCCTCAGAGCGTCTATCAGCAACTGTGAATGGCAAAGTTTGTATTGTTGAACCTGCAACTTCTTAAGACATCTTATAAATACAGTAGTCCAACCAACATTTCCGCGAGCGAGCTTTTACTTTTTTCGATGCATTTTTCCTTTTCCTTCTTGATTTTTGTGACTCACAGTAGCGGGACAGTAGTGTTGATTATCCGAATGCCGAAAAGTTCCGAGTTCCGAAGTGCCGAGTGTCATCTGAAAAGTTGGTTTACCGCCACCGTGCCAACATTACGAGCGCAGTTGGTAGGAGCCCGCATGGCGCAACGCTTTGCGCGAAACAGCAACACAATGATCGTGCTGTCATGTAGGCCCTACATGTACACACATAACCTTACAAATGTCCATGACCGTTTTTCAAGTACGTGGGGTTTTTGGTTTTCTTTTTAATTTACGAGTTTCAAACCTTGAGCAAACAAACATGTATAATTTCTTCTTTTAAATTATCGTAGTTTTGTAATGTTTTGTTGTTTTTCCTAAGTCAGTAGTCCAATTCATACTAATTAATAGCTATTTACATTACAAGTGTAGTAAGAGCGTTTTTACATCACGCAGGTGAACGTTGTCCAACGAGCGGAAGCGAGTTGCATAATTCACCTAAGAGATGTAATCACGCTCTTGCGCAACGTGTAACGTACAATATTTTACCTGACCCGACAATATACATGGGTTTACGTACAATATTTTTCATTATCCATTTCACTCATCGTCTAACAGTAACGTTCTTTTACAAACAAAAGCTAGGTTAGGAAAATACTTTAAAGCATAACAATAACATTCAAGCGCACAGCTGATTTCTAGTGTTGAACGTCGATGCCTCTATAGAGGTATATTTTTTTAAGTTAAGCACTCAATGTTATTTAAATGGGTTTCATTACATCACCGAGTGAGTTTTTTTCCAACTTTACATCACTCGAGAAGTAAAGAAGTTGTATACATCACGCTTGGGATAGGGAAGTTTAACATGGCGGGTTAGGTAAACTTAACAAAAAAAAATACGCCTATTTTATTTTTATGTCCGACTATCCGAAAAATCGGTTATCCAAACACCCTTCTAACCCAATTGTTTCAGATAATTGACGCTCTAATGTACTGCTACTGTCAGCCACACAAATCAAGAAGGAAGAGGACAAATGCACAGAAAATAAGTAAAATCTTGCTCACCAAAATGTTGGTTGGACTATTTGGCTGAACGAGGCAAAAATGTTCTTTGTGGCAAACAAGGGTAGGTTACAGCCTTCTGCAAACTTTCCAAGTCACTTAAGCACCTACAAACACTATCAATAGGGATTGACCTTCACACAGATTCATAATTGGCAATAGCATTAATTTTCCCTCACATTTTTGGCTTATGCGCCAAGACTAACTGTCTTATAGGGGTGGAAACCGACTACATTAGATGAAGTAAAGAAAACTCTGTAAGTCTCAGATTTGAACTTACTTTTGACTGCTACAGGAATTTGATAGTGACTTACATTTTTTGAAAAGTTTTTGTATTTTTTATATTATTTTCTCGATTCAGATAACCTTAATTTTCAATTTTATCTGCAGTTCCCCTCTTTACGATTACCCCGGATAATCAAGTTCCTCCAGTATTTAAGATGAGATCCAAAACCTAAAGTTACAAAAATGGACCGACAATGATTCCAGATACAAAATGAGGCGAGTGAAATGGGAGTCATTTTTACACAAACATATTTCCCGAGGGCTCTAAATTTATTTTTGCTTTTCTGCAGCGGATGTAGTTTTTGAATAAAGAAACACACACCTGAAGACTTTCCAGGTCTTGTAAGCCAGACTCGTTAAAGACTAGAAAAGGTTCTTGACCATCTTGGAATGGAAGCGTCTGTTGACTAAAACCAGCTGCTTCCAGAAACTCCATGGTGCCTTCCATACCCGCCACCTTGTCTTGAAAGATTCTGTTTGAAAGTCGTATTTTCCTGTACTTGTCTTCGTTGGGATTATTGACTATGTTTTCTAAATATTTACTAAGTGTCTCTACACACTGTTCGACCTGGAACAAAAGCATAATAATAGGTGTCACACATTGAGTTGCAAATTCAAGCTTAAAGATACAGGGTAATGGAGATAAAAACCAATTTGAATATGTCAAAAGGGAAATTTTTAAATTTAAAAAAAACCCAAATGGACGTTTGTTGTCTGCCAAGAACTTAATGACACACAAATAATTCTGAGCCAGTTAAGCCACTGAGCTATACAGTGCAGTATTTATTCTTGAACCCTAAACACTGTGTCAAGTTTGTATAAGCAGGAAGGTTGGGTAGCATACAAAATAACAACACTATTGTAATCAACATCACGGTACTGTGCAGTAGAAATGAAACCATCCAGATCAATTGGTACCTCAAGTGAGACACATTCGGATAGTAAAAAATTCAGATTATTTGATTTGTACTGAAATTTAGGGTACACAAAATAGGCCAAGTCGAGCCGAGCTTTCATTATCGTGATTGCAGAACATTCCTGCAAAGATTTTGCGATCTAAATAATTCACGGTTTTGCCATGATTGTGGTGGACGATGATGATTTTGACGGTTGTAATTTTCTGTGACCTTTAGAGACGATGATATTGTGGGAAATATTAAAGATTTTGTCCATAACAGCGGGGAATGACGAAAATGTCTAAACAACCGTAAGAGATGTTTGGGGTTTTGATGCGGTCACAGAATGATGTTCCCATGACTGCTGTAGATAATGATGATATCACGACTACTGGAGATGTTCAGGAATTCGCCACAATCATAGCTCCTTCCTTCTTTAACAACAAATCTAATAAATTACTGTATTTTTGGGTTTTGAAATTCTTTTTAAAAGATCTTTTCCATGCTGAATATCAGGTAGCCCAAGCAAGAATTACTGTCCAATACTGAATGATTCCTGTAAGTTTGATTACATACATAATTGTAAAATATATAGCTCTTCCATGGCTGCTTCCAATTTTGATGGATTAAAAGATAATTAACCTTTTTTAACAAGTTTTATTGGGTCAGAATCAAAATCAGAATTTTTTATTGCCATAATAATACATAAATGTACAGGGCAAAAGTCACTAAAACTAAAACAAATAAAATCAGACCCATTAAAATAACACCATGTGATCTGCAGCTTATAATGCTACAAAGTTAGTACAGTGTCTTCTGTGACACCTCCGAAAAATTTGTGTGTTCAGTAGACATTCTCTACTACGCTCTATGAACTTGATAGCTCTATCTCGTATTGCTTTAATGCACAGGCAAAGTTCACAGTTCATCACAGAAAAAAGTCTGCAATACAATTTGTAGAAATATTATACAGTAAACTTTGTACAAAGAAAATTAGCTGAAAAACACAAAGTCGGGGAGTTATTTTAACTGCTCAACTAACTACAAGAAATAATTTCCTAAATACCTATAGTACGAATAGAAGGAAATAAAAATAGATTACATCTAAAAGGATAATCCAAGACTTAACTTTTTTTTCTGTCCATAATGGTCTATTTATTAATACAGTACTGCAGAAATTAGTAGAGCCATTGGTTTAAAATAGATTTAATTACTAAAACACTTTTTGTACCCTTAACAATGCTGCAGTTAGAGGAAATCTGCATCAGCAATACACATAATAGTATAATGCTACCAAAGACACGCCTAGCTAAACAATGTAATCAACTGCAATCACATAGATTACCTTATCTTTATTTTTGTTGCAAGAGTGAATGATGAGGCAAGCAGTCAAGCCTTTCTCGTCTGCTAGCTGCTCGTACAAGAACTCTTTGATCTTCCCCTTCCACTCTTCCTTGGAAAGGATTTCCGGTCCTGAAAACATATTTAAAACACAACTGTAATAAACACATACAGTAAATACAAATATCTAATGAGATTTCTAAGATCTCCAAGTTGATAAAAGTTTTATGTAATTTTACCACCCCGGGAAGGGTACTATATTTAATACTGGCAGCTTTACCATTGCTTTACGATGAGATATGACATCAGAATAGAAAAACATTACCCTTTGTGAATAGAAAAAACAGATGAAACAGTTAAGTTATGTAGATGAACATTTCTCTAAAATAAACATTTAAGGGATTTTTATTGTTGAAAAGGGAAAAGCACCTGTGAAAATTTAAAGTGAAAAGGTTATTAAAACAAAATAAAAGAAGTCTGACCAATACCGTATCAGGGTGAAATATTTTTGTTATGTCATGTAACCTTTATTTCTGTATCTAGCCTCTGGACTATGGAGTTTATTTTCTTAAATAAACTAGCTGAACAATACCTATTTCTAAAGAAACCCCATAATCAGCAAACTGGATTCCCTTTAAAGTATATCCCAGTGTAAACATTCAATTTTTTTCCTGTTTCTTCTAATGAAACCAATAAGCCATCAATGTTCTATAACAAAATTCTGAAAGCCAAGGAGCAGATCTTGAGAATAGTCCTACGGAAATTCTTGGTAAGACTAAGATTATTTTTGTGCAAAATGTTAGCTACAATGCTACAGTGGGTTTTGTGTGGTTTAATTATTAAAAAAATATCATGTAGGTACTTAATTTCCTACCTATAAGCGGACACTTGAAGTACACCCCTCTCACGGCCAACAACGGGGACAAATCCTCGTCTACAGAGGGTTTCTCAGCAGGAGGAGGGGTCGCTTCTTTTCCCTCTTTTTCTGCTGCTAACCTTTTTTTCTCTGCCTCAAGCTCACGCTTTACTTGGGCCTGGATCGCAGCTAGAGATCTGCAGAGGTTGCATATTAAGGTTAATACAATTAATTGTTTTTTATGTTCTCCCTTTATAACACACAGTCTTTAGGATTGGGTCTAAAAATTATACATGTAGGCTACAAACCAATTGTAAGTCATTAATAGGTCACTGGAACTGAAAATATTCTTGAAAATGGTATTGTTGTGACCGATTTTAGTAACATTCATCAAAAATATCACAAAATGATAGCATATTGTAAATAATGTGTCCTAACTTAAACTTATGTGTCAAATCCGTACCATATAGTCAAATATACAATAAAACCAATAAATTTGATAAAAATTATTTTGATGCAGGCCAAGAACCTTTGCTATCACTCACTTATTTAAAACACTGATTGTGTAAGCAACAGATAAGAAAACTCACAGTTGAATCAATTATACTGGAAAAATACTAACTGCAACATTTAAAACAAAAAAAAAATTGTTCAGAAATGGATTTAGTTTTCAAAGGTTTCAAGTACAAAACTTTCAAAAGCTGCAATAAATGTTGTTACATATTTTCTAACAACAAAGGGATTGGTTGACCCTGAGTACGTTCCACCAAATAGTCCAGCCAATGACAAACAAATGTCATTCAAACACAAAATAGTGATTCCCACGATAAAAATGATGAAACTTGTTACGTTAGATTCCGATCGTAATGCAAAGAAATAGAAAATATCTGTCAGTCAAGATGACACTACTCTGTCTTAACTAAGCATACGTGCTTTTTCAGTGCCATAGACATGATTTCTTTTGGTTAAGCATGTAACAAAGGACACTAGAGCATCGTTTAAAGTATTTTTTTGTAAAAGAGGCCGCCGACCTCTTAAAATAAAAGATAAAAATTCTTAAAATTAAAGATGTCGGCGGACTCTTTTACCTTACATTTGCCCTGCCACATGGGCCACAGAGGCCGGTGTGTAGGGTACGTATCCAGCAAAGCATGGGGTGAGCCGGTATAGATAAAAAGTAGTGGCAAGTACCAGGATCCAAACCCACGACATTGCTACCTTGGGCTCAAAGTCTGATACAATACAGACTGAGCCACCGACTCACCTATAAGGCTACGGCCACACGGGCGTTTTTTCAGCAAGAACGCAGCGTGAAAAAACGCGAGAAATATGGGCAGCATTAAATGTAACGAGGTATGCCACACGGAGTGTGTTTTCACGCAGATTCGGCGCGTCTTCAAAATCGACCGCTGCGAACCCCCAGAAGGATAGACTGGGGTGCATTTTTGAAGCTTGTTTTCACGCCCTGTCCCTGGCCACACGGGCGGGAGTAACACGCAGCTTTGATCAAGTCAAGTCGTCCTAGCAAGTTAAAATAAATATAAATGTATCTAATTTTGTCCAGGATAGCGTAAAATATTTTTGGGTCTAGCCAATTACACAGTAGACCTACACGTTTTATCTTAAACATAGGTCGACCTTACTGGACCACTCAATAATTTGTTACTAAAAAAGGAAAGGCATTTAGTTGGACTAAAAAATGTAAAGAGGCATTTATGTAGTAGAATATTCAAAGATCTGATGAAAATCTTGTCATACAAATATTTATATTATATTTATTTTTTAATACTAAATGTCAAAATAAAATAATTTTTGTGTTATTTTCGTATCAAAATTAATATACAGGGTTAGTAAAAAGTGTGGAGACCCCCTGTTATTTTTTTAACGGCCCATACTAGAAAAACTAAACTCGGCACACCTTTATGGCATGTTATGAAGTACTTTTTGGGCATAACCGTCACTTGGTGTACATCCCCAAAATGGGGGATTTTGGGGGAAACTCTAAAATTTCAAATACAAAGACCCATCGAGTGACCCCTCATTGTGAAGGTCCTGGTAAGAGAAAACCAAAGACGCAAACTAGAGGTCTTTATCTCAATCTAGTAAAAAATGGCAGCCAATTGAAATTGTCAGAAGTTGAATTTAACTTACAGCTTTCCAAGTCTGGAGACCCCCTGTAAATCTTGTAGCGGCTCACACTAGAAAAACTAAACTCTACACACCTTTTTGGAATGTTATGAAGTACTTTTTAAGCCTAATAGCCACTTGCTTACCAAACCCAAAATGGGGGATTTTGGGGGAAACTCAAAAGTTTTAAATGATAAGCCCGATCGAGTCACCCCTCATTTTAAAGGTCCTGGTTAAAGAAAATTAACAACGCAAACTAGAAGTTTCTAACTCAATCCAGTAAAAAATGGAAGCTGATTGAAATCTTTAGAAATCGGAAATAACTTGCAGTTTTATATTCAATTGGCTGCCATATTTTACTGTGATAAGATAGAGACCTATAGTTTAAGTTGTTAGTTTTCTTTTATTATGACCTTCAAAATGAGGGGTCACTCGATGGGGCTTATCTTTTAAAATTTTTGAGTTTCCCCCAAAATCCCCCATTTTGAGTTTGTGAACTTATACGAATTTCAATTGGCTGCCATTTTGTACTGAACTGAGATAGAGACCTCTAGTTTGCGTTGTTGGTTTTCTTTTACCAGGACCTTCAAAATGAGGGGTCACTCGATGGGTCTTTGTATTTGAAATTTTTTAGTTTCCCCCATAATCCCCCATTTTGGGGATGAACACCAAGTGGCGGTTATGCCCAAAAAGTACTTCATAACATGCCATAATGGTGTGCCGAGTTTAGTTTTTCTAGTATGGGCCGTTAAAATAATAACAGGGGGTCTCCACACTTTTTACTAACCCTGTATTATATTCATTTTTTATACTAAATGTAAATAATTAATTAAATGAAAAGTTAAAAAAATAAAATAATTTTAGTATTGTTTTTGTATCAAAATCAATATACCATTCATATTTCTTGTTCACTAGTCAGAAACAATGTTACTATTCCAGCCATGAGGAAGATATATAACATAATTACGTGAATTCGTCAATCAACTGCGGGTTCCCACTGCATTTTGCCGCTCCTGGACTTCAACCGGCGTGAGAATAAGCTACATTTTACTGCGTGAAAAAACGCATGTATGGCATACAACAGCGGGAATTCAAGCAGCGTGAAAATAAGCTACATTTTACCGCGTGAAAAAACGCCCGTGTAGCCGTAGCCTTAGGTTGGTTGCAAAAGAGTCCACCCTGGCATAAGAGACACAAAAACTTTACATGACTGATAGCATGTTTAACCGAGGAAGGATTCTGTTAAAAAAGGAAGAGAGGTTACCTAAATAGCTCTTTTTGACTTTTCATTCAACTTAGTTCATTTGTTTGTGTAACATGTGATTTTAAGTCTAGAGAGCTAATACAATAGTTTTGGTAGTAGGGTGCAAAATACTGCCCACATTGTCAGGGAAAGGGAAGTTTTATATCCAGCCTAAAATGAACACTCAGTTGGTCCAGAAGTCTAACTATGCATTTCATTACTTACGTGTTAAAAGATGGCGTGTCTCTCTTTTCACCACCTAACCTCGCCAAGGCTGCCGCTGCAGCTTGTTTGGCTTCATCTGACGGAGTCACTCGCTGTGCTGAATAAGACGAACCTACTGATTTATCTGACCCGCTGGGGCCGGCCTTTTTGCTAGAGTCACTCAATTTATGTCCAGGACCCGCCATCTTGAACTTCGCCTCAACCTTTTTCTTCTCGAAAAATTTCTTAATTTTGTCTGCCATTTTGGTGATTATATCCTCGGTGTGTGCTGTTTAGGTAGTTTCAGTTGCGATACACTCTTTTTCAATTCTTCAATCACTTTAGGTGTGGCTGAAATAAGATATTTTATATAGTAAATATGTAAATTACAAATAATGCTACTTTAAAAAAAAAACATCGCTAAATAAGTTTGTCCTTTAATTTTTTATCAAGGCTCTAGGCCTATAAATTTTAAGAACACTTAGATCTAGGTTTGATAGTAGAAAAAATGTTTGAAGATAACATTTTAAATCAGCCAAGCAAGGCTCATGGCTGATTTAAAAGGTATATAACAATTAGGTTTAAGTTCTTAGACGAACATTATTCGGTGATTTCTAATAAATGAAAGAACAATATCCAAATCCAGCCTCTTCTAATACATACAATGCACAGTGAAAAAAACGTGGCAACACTGCAGCCCTGGCCTTTCGAAGCAGCTGCAGCACTAATTCATCGTCTGCGCAATATTCATGTTTACGCAGTTAATACCAAGGCAATACGTCGGTGTGATGTTGACACTCACAAATACCAACGCCGTAGCCTTGTATGACTAAAGTTATGGCAAAACACAAGCTATTTTACGATTATTCAAATCAAATAAAAATATAAACAAGAGGTTTCTTCTACTGTTTGTTTATGTTTTTTTTAGTTAATATAAGCAATCATACAGGCAATTTTAAAAGGGATAATATAAAGCTTCCTAATGACACTCTTTATGACACTGAATTTTTTACTATAGACAATAGACAATAGCCTAGGTTGTCCTTGACAAACCTTTATCATTAACTTTACTCTGGTACCATTTGGTCTAGAAAATATCACCAATTTTTTTAATATATCCTACAAAAATATGTACAGCACTTTGCCATTATGCTTTGGAAAAATAATTGTATCTAGGTTTTGTATTAATATTGTAGAAATAAGAAAGCTGTGGCGAGAAAAGAGTTTGATGGCTTTGAGAATTAGGCCATCTTAACAGGATCGCTGCGATTAAGTTGTGGAAAATGTTCAAAGATTTAGGAAAAGCAGGGAGAGATCATTGTAAGCTATGCATAATGGAAATGCTTCCAAACAGAGCAAAAATAGTCAGAAAACTAGTACTCAGAGTAGAAAATTATGAGTTTTAGAGTAAGTAAACCTACAAAAATCAAAACCTTGGCTCTACACATACAGCTAATTAAAATGAGATACGTAGATTACTCTTTCAATAGGCATTGTGAAATACTAAATGGAGAAAAATTAAACCAATCAAAAGACACATTCCATGTTTTGAGATGTGACTACTGTTTCAAAGTTTGACATCTAATGTGACGAGGTGATGGGTTGGTTAGGTAATAGAGAAAATAGATTTCACGACTTTTAACAAAAATTATTGTACCCTATGGATAAATGGAAACATACGGTACAGTAGGGAAATATTACTTCACTCTGTTAAAATTGATTTATCCAAGTTTATGTGTGTGTAACATAACTTTATTTGTGACTATCTTAAATTTAACCTGAGGATTTAAGATTTGGAGGGAGTTGTAAAATTTTTGCCAGACAAGCAAGCCTTAGTACTTTTTAATTTTTTGTTAGTTTTTTAAATTTTTTTTATATTTTTTAGGGAGTTATCATCCTTGTAAATCAGTAAAAAGAAATGTTTATGAATGTTTTATATGGTAACACTTGCATTGATAAATTACTTAATTTATGATTTGACTTTAGACCAAAATGAACATGGTATCTAACTACTGCTACCGTAGGCCTACCTATTTTGAATAATAAACCAAGAAAAATGTGCATAATATACTTTTTGTGAAAACGTTACTCAAAAATAAGATAGAAACATGAAAAAGTCTTTAGCCTAGATTTTACAATATGATTTCTACTTGTAGTGTCCAAAGTCAATGCTAGAGGGAATTAATTTAAAACTGTAATTCAACTAAAGCAGCCCTGGAACAATGTGCGTTGCTCGAAAAGTTACATTTAATGGGAAAAAAGCAAAAGTAAACTCAAAACTTTGAACTCACGCATATTTCTGTTCCAAATGTGATTATAACATCACATTTCACAGCTGAAACAAATTAGTTTTGATTTATTGATAACAATTAGAATGTAGGCTGGTCACAGGGTGTTGAAATTTTGTATTCATTTGTTTGACAGTTGTTTCAAACTTGTTTGAAGTTTTAGTTGAAAATAAAACAAATCTTGGTTGCTAAATTTGGTAGAAAGCAATGGAGATTTTAATTGTGTAGCTTAATTCATAACTTATTCGATTGTCTATCAAAAACACCACAGATAAAATTTATGACAATTAAGAAAAGTTAACTTTCGCTAAGACCATGGCTCGATTTGAGAAGAATGCGGTGGAATTCTCTAATGATAACAAGATCAACCCTGAAATGAATTAGGCTACTTTTTAAAAGCATATTTTAGCTAACAAAGTTAAATTTCCCCTTTTTAGAGTTTTCAAGGTGGCAACGTTAATCAACCAAATCTACCTACAAGCATTTTTGAAATGATTAGGCCTATTTATCGTGTGGTCACCCTAGTCGCAATAATTTTAGAGGGAAATATTTATTTTAAAATGGCATAGGCTACAATCAATCAATAAATGTGTCTTGGGCTATTAAGTTTAAATATTGATGTGCAGATCAATGTTTCTAATACAACATTAAATTAAAATTCAAACGATCGTAGTTTATTCAGTTTTTGTAACAGCAGAAAGATTTTTTCACCATTGTTTTTAGATAATAAAAATCTAGTTTTTAATGATATGCAATTTACTATAGGTTCCCTTGGTCACCTACAGCAAAGCTTTTGGCTATCTGGGCCATAATCTCATCCTAAGGAAACTCACAGCCCTAGGAATAGAGGGAATGTCCAAAGACTGGGTGGCAAGCTATTTGAAAAGACGTACACAAATTCTCGAAATCCAGCAAAACACAAATGGATGAAAATCTGTAGCCTACATAGGTCCACACAACTTTCGATTAACAGAGGAGTGCCCCAGGGCTCAGTCATGGGCCCAGTTTTGTTCATCCTTTTCACCAACAATTTTCCAGATTTCATTAGGAATGAAAATTGTGAAACGGTAATGTACACTGATGACACAACTCTTCTATTTATGCACGACTTACCGGTACCACAAGAATTACACTTCAACATCTTATCCTCAACAGACAAAGCACTGCAGTACTGCCTTCAAAATGACCTGGCCATTAAATTTTAGCCAAAAACATGAACAAATCCAAGAAATTCCTGAAATAACGGTTGAAAAAAACTCAAAACTGCTTGGCAAGACAATTAATCGATGAAGACCTCTCCTGGAACAACCACATACACTACCTGACCAAGAAACTTGCATCTGGGGTCTATATAACAAAGAGGATGAAATGGATAGGAGGTCTGAAAACTGCTAAGACAGCATACTATGCTATAACTTAATAGAATCACATATTAGTTAAGGTATGGCTTAATATCTTGGGGAGGAACATCAGAGGCAACCCTCAACAAAGTTCTGGTGCTCCAGAAAAAAGCCGTCAGGGCACTCTCAGGCCTTGAGCGCTTAGACAGCTGCAGGGAGGCATTTAAATCCCTTAAGCTCCTAACAGTGACAGCACTCTACATCCATGGAGTTGTCCTGTATAAAAAAAAAAAAAACTGAATCTTCCCAGAAATGAGAATTTTCACTCCTACCACAACAGAAGAGCAGCCGACTACAGCCTACCGATCCACCACACTACACAATAGGCCTACAGCAGAAAATCTTCTTAAATATTGGCCACAAAATCGTCAACTCTCTTCCAAACAACCTCAAGAACGCAACAGGAAACCAACTCAAACAGCAACTATGGGACTGGCTTGTGGACCGAGCGGTGTACTCCCTTAAGGAATTTTTGGACCAATTATGAACTTTCAATAGGCCTACAAAGAAAAATCTAAACTGTTAAACATTCTGGAGTTTTGTGATGCCATTGAATTTCTGAACGAAATTACAAAATAAAGGAAACTGTCTATTGTCTACCTAAATATGCATAAATTACCGTTCTGTGTTTTTCAGTCAAACATCGATAGGTTATGTGGTTGGTCTAAGTGAGAAATCAGTTTAAGTTAGCCTAGATGGCTATATCTTGGATAAAAAATTGTAGGTAGGGGCCTAGGCTATGCTTAATAGCATACGTTAACCTAACTGTTCTTCAGTGATATTATTAGGCTACCAATATAGCCTAGTGCAGCTATAAGATGAAGAGAAAACAAGAAGTTAACATTTAATAGTTGTACCCTATCATGCAAGACATTTACCTGGCTTCATAAAACGTTGGCAAATCTGATTACCATAAATCTTCCACACAACAAAAAGTAAAAACGTATTTGTTGCAATTATTGCACAGAATAGTTTTAATAACTCAATTTGAAATTCGTCGTAAGGAAGAACTGTGTTGAAATATTGCAAGAGTTTAAAAACAGAAGCTTCCTTATCCACCAATGATCTTAAACTAGATGAGGTAAAATTTGAGGTTATACTCAAATTAGACACAAACACGAAGTAAAATTGATTGCAATAGAAGTATAACAGATTCCACAGCGAGGAACTGTCTAATTGGTCTTCAACATCAGATGTCATCACACATAATTACAACCAAAACACGAAATAGTTTTCAATTTTTACACAGGACAATGACAGTAAAATTTAGACTTACAGGTGGCTTCAGATTGCAGAAACCTGAAACAAGCAATTTTTATGCCAGATGATGCAGTGTCGTGTCTGTTCAAGGTTTGGGTATGTTTACTGTACCATTTAGCTTTACGGCACCATAAGTAGAAAAGTGACATTATTACACATGTTAGGAGTGTTGCTCGAAAATTTTTAATGATGTGGGAAACAATCAACCAATGAGCAATACTCTCACATGAAACGTTTTAGATTCTACTTATAAATTAATTATCGTCATTTTAGTCATAGGAACGGAACATACGAAGTGGTTATCTGTGGTCGAATTATTTTATACCTTTAAAATACCATGCGGCATGCATCCATCCCTGACCAGTAATGGCTGGATGGATTTCGTAAAAAAATTTAAAGTTTAAATTCTTCAGATTGTACCAGTGGTGGTTCCAAAAGGGGGGGGGCTACAGAGGCTAAAGCCCCCCCTTGGACCCTGGAAAAATAAATTTAAACGTACGTTTCGTCCTTAAAACACTGTCATAAAACAGACATCAACGTAGTTTTATTAAACTTGAGCGATGGCAGGAGTAGTATAATAGCACAACGAATAAAACAATATTACGCTATGGAAAGTTGTACGCATCATCCAACTTTTACGGCAGTCAGCTGACGTGCTATGGCAAAGGCGAGACGAGCGATGAGCGCGCGAGCGAGGACGGGGAAACAGCTGATTTCCTGATGTTTCATTAGTTAGTTGTCAAATTATCTGCTAGCCACTAACTTTACACAGGCATCAATCAGCAATCAGCGGTAGCACCACTAGCCTATTACCATTTACTATATAAACGATTGTACTTATATATTATATATTTATAGCGGTTAATATGGATGTAGTTCATGAGCTCCTCATCACTTTCTTCTGTGGAATATTCTTAGACGGAGTTCAGGGGTCGTGCCTTCAGTAGTTCCTCCAGCACTTTCTCTTTAAAATTCTTGAGAGGGAGTGACTATGTCCTGGGGCCCTATTTTTGAAATGGTTGACTGTTGAGTTGAGTGTCGAGTCATTCTATTTCCAATCGTTTCGTATTTTTGAAACGATTGACGGTGGACTTATACAACCAAAACTACTCAACACCTATCGAGCTGTTGAGTGGAGGTTGACTGCACTTTCTTCTTCCTCTCTTTCGGCAAAAATTACTCTTTTTGAGTCGACGCCATATTGTTTTGTTATTGCTTTAATTTACTAATTGCGATTTAGAGGTTATGTATTTGTTGTCAATGTATTAGCACCCAATACTTTATGCGATTGTTTTCTGTAGAATGATTGCATCTTAATTTTATTATTACTGTGTCAATACTAGACTATTTAATCAAGGATTTTATCCTTGTTGATATGTTTGAAATAGGCTAGGCATACTAATTAAACTTATTATAAGATAATTATTGTTATTAGACCTTTAAGGTATTAAAGATTGTGGTAGAGAGAAACAATATCATAGTTTGTTTCAATACCATTCACCTAATAAAGGGATCAAATTAATTTAAGTTAGATATGCTTTCAGTGCAATGGCAAATAGCCGCTTTAACCTTTAACCTAAATAAAAACACAATTAAAAATAACATAAAAAAACCGATGAAGGAAACTAAAATAAGGTGATGTGTTTCGAAATAGAGACGAAGAAAGCAAATAATAATGTATTTAGGATATGCCTAAACTTATAATTAGCTACACCCTAAAACAAACATCCATAGTAAATTTTATTTTTAATACTTAAGTTTATTTTATAAGTTAAGGTACTTTTGCAATCACTAAGATTGAAGGTTAAGCAAGACATAACCTCAATCTCTCAAGAACGGAGTTGACAGTTTACCTCAGTGTCTCGAAATATGGTAGAGGTAGATTGAGATTAGCTGCCAAATTTTAGAGTAAGAAGAGGTTAAATGGAAGATCGCAAGAACTCTGCATTGTGATTGGTTCAAAATGACGTCATCTGAATTTCGGGCGGTCGTATGCTCTACATTTCCACCTCGAGTCACTCAACTAGTGATTCCCAACTCGCTTCCCAACTGTTGGGTTTCAAAAATACCAAATCCTGTTGTTGGTTGAGTTGAGTGCTGACGATTGACTCAACTGTCAACCATTTCAAAAATAGGGCCCCAGGTCTAGGTGGTATACTGTATAGCGCCTACTGCCAAGGACAGGTAGCAGTCGTTTTACTGGTTGCTCAGCCGGCAGAAAAGAATTGCTTCTCTTCTTGTATTGTAATTGTGTATTTGGTTTCCTCAGCTGAGGTTGTTAATATTTTCCTTGACATGTACCAGACAGTTGTAGATAAATTTTGGCTGTAAACAGTAATCACTCCCAAAGGCATGAAAAAGTGGTCTACAATGATCAAGCCTTGCGCTAGACGTTATATTTATTTATTTATTCATTCCAACGGTCAAACAATTACCAATACATATATAACAAAACGTAAAAGTGATGGCCCTTAAAGCAGACTTTTGAATTGTTTGAATATTCTTGGTCTCTGAAGCGCGTTCCCAGTTAGGTTCCTGTGGTCAAGTTTCTTATAATTTCCTTAGAAAGAAACCCGTTCTGGAAAGTCTGCCTCCTCTTGTGTTATTGCCTCATGTCATCTTTTTGCCATCCAGCCAAAACCCCAGTAGTTTTACAGGTTGATGTTGCAGATTCTGTTGTTTAATACCGCATCAGTTCCTGGTTTTATCGTTACGTATTTATTTTTAGCTTATTTTTTACAAACAAGGGTGTTTAGCTTCGTCAATGATTTCCATTGCTTCAGATTTCAGTTGGTCCAAAGTGACTACTACTTGTAATGAGGATGGTGTCGTCAGCAAAGAACAAAGTTCTTCCATCAGTCCCCAGATCAAAAACAGGAAGGGCACACACCCAGGGATTGAACCCTGTGGGCCCCCTAAGCCGATATTCAGGTCACTGGAGCAGAACTACCCTTATATAGACAACACGTTTTGCTTTCTGTCCTCTAGTTAGAACAGACATGTATACAGAATCAGCTGATGAAGGTAGGTTCCGGGGACACACACTTACCCATCAGCTGTTTCATGTCTGCTAGCTCATCATGAATGGTCTCTCTTGGTGCAGAATTTTGTATTCCATACCTTTCCATTTTTATCAGCAAGACACAGTGTGTTATACAGTCGAACGGCTTGCTGAAGTCACATAGGGTTAAGTTTCATTCCGATTCCATGTCAATTTCCATGTTGATGGTCAGTGAAAAGATTTGAGCGCTCAAAAAGTCAATTCGTTGGTCCTTGATTATGCAGTAGTCTCCATGATCTTTGCGTGCATTGGTATCACAAAGATAGGCCTATATCCAAATTCAAACATAACATTGTTTTATCACAAGATTGTGAAGGGTAAGTTTCAGCAAACGACTTTATATTGATCAGATAGTTGCTGATATTTAATTGAGCTTCGTGAGTTGATTAGTGGGGTAGCGTAGCTTCATACAATTTAAATGGCTGGGTAGCTGAGTGGTCATAGTGTTCATGCTCGCCTAGCAATCAAAAGGTCGCTGGTTCGATCTTGAGAAAAGCCAGTCGCCTTTTGATGGTTCGAAATTGAACCCAGCTGTTCCTGATCAGTGGGCTTTTACCTGGCTAATGAAACAGCTGATCTTAGTAACAACTCTTCACTTCACTTCACAGATCACCTCACCCCATTCTACTCTCATCTATCACTCATATTTAGGTTAAAATACGCACCTTGGGTGGCGACCACATATATATCTTAATAATTGAAATAATAATAATATTTAAGTAATGAAAGCTACTTTTATCTTTATTGCAGAAATATAGCTGCTATAGTAGGCCTATATTGTGACAAACAACTAATTAGTCTTATAAGGACATAGCTTGTCGTAATGTATGGTACATGCAAAAATAATAATTAATAAATAGATGGTGCATAGCAAATGTCATGGAGCTGAATGTCTCTCAAGCGCTCCAAATTCCCCATTAAAGCGAGCTTCGAGGGTAATAAAAAAGACTAATGGTCCAATTCTGATCACGTTTGGTGCAGATAAAAAGTTAGCTAAATAAAATAAAAAGAATATAATTAATTATAATAGGAAATAGTGTATAGTGTATACGCTGGAGGAATAAGTAAATAAATAAAAGGAATAAACGTAAGCCTACGTTAATTTGAACATAGACTTCGTTTTGTCTATGATTTGAACGAGTACGCGAACAGCCTGGCACGATTGAACAATGGGAAAGGGGTTTTACAAGATGTCTGTGTTATATGTGTAAATGGGGTTTCATCCTCAAAACATAAAGTTTCACAATTTACTTTCACACTATTTCGTAGAAATTAAAAACAAATAATTAAGTATATATTGAAGAATTGTGTACACCTAATTGCCACAGGTAAAAAAAGAAAAACTATACATCTAAAAATGTCTATGTTAGGTATTATTATGGAGATTTAGTAAACTATATTGTAGTTTGCTTGTTTATAAACATATTGGATTTGTACAGTTGTTTTATTGTTCGGTTAATTTATTTTATGGCTAAAAATAGTATACTTTGACTTTACTCATCCAAAATGTGTTTAGTCGAGTGCAGGATTACAACACGAGTAGGCCTACGATAAACACCTATATTCCGGACTAGACAATTCAAGGCGTCAACATAACATGTTAGGGCCATTGACTTGATACAGAAATTAATTGTCGTACTGTAATAATTATAGATCACTTTGGCTCACTATCCAATCTTTCATTTTATCGTACCGTATGAGATTTGGTATGCTTTTGACATGTTATCTTGGTTAGATAACTAAGTTCTATACCAATTTTATCTATTTCTAGTAATCAGAATCTTACAAACATATCACACTGCGCAGAGAGGGCAATTGATAATACACCAATACCCCCGCCGCAGCAAACCTGCCGTCTAAGCGAATTTCCATTTGGCCGAATTGATTTTCAATTGATCTATTTAAATAACATTAGGTTTAACGAGTACCTAGGTTTGCTGCTACAAGGAAACTAATAAAGTGTGTGTTTTAAGTAAAATAATTATTGCTTAGTATAAAATGAATATATTTGCCAAGTTTGATCAACAGATATCCATAAACAAGCAAACTACAACATTTTACAATATCCTCCACAAGAATAACATGGGAATTTTAAATTTACCATTTTTTTTAGTTTTCTCCGTAACCTATAACCATACAAAAACACTTTGATATACTGAATTGTTTGTTTTTTTAAGCTCTTTAAGAAGGGTTAGAGAAAAATTGGGAAATTTTGTGTTTTGAGGGTCAAAAGTGAGAAAAACCAATTTTTACCCCATAAAACCCCCCATAAAACCCTGTTCCCATGGTCCGATCATGCTGGATCGCGAACTCATTCAAGTTTATCCCGCCTTACACCTTCAAACCAAATTTCATCAAAATCGAATAAAAATTACTCAAGTTATCGTGTTCACGGACACACACATATATAAAAATTTGAACGAATGGTGTTTTTGGCCTCTGAGGACATCAAAATGAAAAAGTAAATCGGTCCCGGGCCTAAGTCTTACCATGAGACCTACGGTAATAGCTACTTCCCTATAGGGAAATTCGCTAATAAAGACAATTATAATTAGGTCTCTAATTTGTACAAGTCCTGATAAAAGAGTGACCGGCGGAGATACTGACCATGCTACGAAAGAGGAGCTGGTCTAGTGGTAGTACGTGGGACTTCGGTCCCTGAGGTCCCGGGTTCGAATCCTGACAATCAACAATGGGTCTATGTAATAGAACCCCTACACTTAGCCTGAATCTACGTGGAAACAATCCTGAGATAACGTTTGGCATCCCAGGACGAAATATTCCCAAAATAAGCAGTACAAACTTGAATTTCACATTTATTCAAGTTTTAAAATCGCAAAAGAATCCCCTTTGGAACATGAAAATGAAAGCAGACGTGAGATTATGGTGAACAGATGATTGACGTATACAGAATCAGCTGATAAGGGTGGGTTCCGGGGAGACACACCCCCACCCAGCTGTTCCATGTCTGCTTGCTCAGTCGCGTTCGCGCTGTCGCGGAGTGCACTGGGGTGATGTGGTTTGTGCGGCTGGCCGTCCAAACTCGCAAAACCAATCTGGTCAACTAATGAAGGATTAGATATCTGTAAGTATTTCATACTAGAATATCATACATTATAATAATGTAAATTGATCACAAATAACGACATGTTTATGTTATATGCTAGTCGTTGCGGTTATGCATGTTAAAAGTATTGGATTTTTACATTTTAGGTTAGGGAGGATTTTAAATGGGTTAAAGTTCCAAAAGCAATTGACGATTTAAACCGTATAAAGTTGACTGTGAGTTATGTCTTATGTCAATGAAATTCTAAGAGGTAAATTAGAATTATTAGTTGTTCTAATTTCAAAAGCTTTAGTTTTCTTGTGCAATGTATTGTAAACAATTTTGTAAACAGCTACAATTAGATAATTGACAAATAATCTAATTTTAAAAATATATCCGTTTACTGTTACAAAATATCATTAACTCAGTTCGTCAATTTGTTTATCTTAGATTTATAGCAATTGTTTAACAATACAGTACGATTATAACATGCTTATAAGCCCTACTTGACGTGAATAAACAAGAAAATTAGTAAATGTATTTTAGGAAGTTCTAACATCTGTATATCAATAATTGATATATCAATAACAAATTTTATAATTATAATTAATAATTATAATAGGATTTTATACAGGTTTATATTTTAAGGTAGCCTATATACCTACAGATTTTATCAACTATTGAGATGGGGACGCCACCTACTCTTGGTGTTTATTTACTCGTAATTTAGAAATAATTAATTTTTTTACTTTAATTTAACCCTTTATTGGATGTATCTGAATGCATTAATTAAGTAGTCTACTTAATTACCTTCACACACAATAAGAACTTGACAACTCTATAAAATGAAAGTATATACAATTGGTGAGTCAGATTCAGTGCAGTGTTTACATGAACCGCAGATGAATCTACACTGATTTCGTATCAGCAGATAAGCTCTCATTCTGTTGTGAAATCTAATATTTTTTGTTTTGACGAGTCTTTGGAAACGTTTTGAGTCATAGTCATGTTTGAGTCCGTCGATGTCAAGTAAATGGGGTTATTGGTAGGTTAATTGTACAGCGCTTTCCCTCTAACTATAATATAATACAGAGAAGTAAGTATCAAGAGCTCTATATACGTTCACAAGATTTAGGTAGTTTGAGGTAAAGTTTCCCCACCACTTGTTTGTATTTTATTTAATGTATGTTGCTCAGTTGTTGAGCTATTATTTTAAAGGTAAGAGTCAAGTGGAAGGGGTAGAGTTCTTCCCCTAAAACCACCTGAATATTGTAAACGAAGTATAGTTTATCAATAACTGTTTTATTTTGTTAAAATAATATTTTGGTTTGAAAATTTCAAAAACTCATTACAAGTCACTTTGTTATCCAGGCTATCCCGCACATATATTAATTGTCTTTTTGGTCCATAATGATGATACAACTTTAAGATAGATGACACAGTTATGGTTGTAAAGTAGAAGTTAATAATTTTACGTTCGACGGTTCTATCCTGACAAAGTTCGTTATTTTCATCCCAGTTTCAAGAACTTGAATTATACTTGATTTACCTTTGTTGTTGCCTGTTATGTAAGTGTCTATGCATTTCACCACCTTGTGTAAATAAAGACTAATGTTAGGGATAAGAAGATGAATTAACAAGAGGACCCCACACAAGGTGACGAAATGCACTAGGCGATACAAACATAATGCCTACGAAAACTCGCAACAACAACAAAGGTAAAGACTGATAGCTTTTTGATCATTCGAAACAGAAGCTGCACTTCTCATTACACTTTTAATGGTCCTTCCTACATAAAAAAACCATAGAAATAAACAGCTGATCTTAGTGACAAACTACAACTACACTATGCACCTCCACCCCCTCCCCATGCTACGAGTCGTAGCCTACGACAATGCACGACCTGAATTGACGTACTTTTGCGCCAACTACTCCAGGGAGCCACCCGATACGTTATTTAATTAAGCTAAGTGGTGGCACTCTTTGACTGTATAATTGGGTAGGTTAAGGTTAAGATGACAAGTAAACAAGGACAACTGCCGGCAACTCACCCCTACCTGGCTTGGGCTTGGCGCAATTAAGGAACTCTTTGGCGCAATTGATGCACGACCTGAATAAAGGATGGTTGTTGGATGCGCTTCTTTGGCAAAAGGTCTATTTCCAGTGCATATACTATGTAGATGTTTTCTATTAGATAAGTTGATACTTCTAAGATGTTTTGTAACATAGTATGCTCGAAAAGGTTTCGTTATTTTAAGAAATCCCAACACTATTTCCCGAGAAAATGTAACTTTCCGTCTGTGTTTAGAATTTGCACCGTCTCCGTTGGCATCAGTAGCAACCCTGAACAATATTGCTTGCACACAGTCCAAAGTCGAAACAACAAAGACAAACGAGTTTGCTTTATCATTCGGTAAACAGCTGTGAGGCATGACTTGGTCGAAATATCAGGGATTCCCAGATGAAATAATGACAACACCCGTATTTACGCAATAATTGTTGGGGCCTTACTCGATCATCTGGGTACATAATATTTGGTGTGACTCATTTATGTCGAAGTTTGTTAAGTAAATAAAAAGTTAATACAGAAACATCGTGAGGTGTAGGTTCGAAATCGGTGCACTTTTTGCTTTGGGGTCCCAAAAGAGGAATACAATACACCAACAAATCGTTACATATTTCTATTTTGTGTTTGTGGTTGACACGAAAATGTCTGATGCATTAGTAAAATTGCAAGAGATTTTGAAGGGTCCCATATATTTATATTCCATATGATTATCCACCAACTGTTTACTGTAAAAGCGCAATAGAAAGAACTATAAAACTAAGTTTTAACTTTGATTTAAAATACTTCTTATGACAATAATATATTTTCGTCATACTGCAGCAAACAGCCGTTTTTACATGTGTTGCGGGTCTAAAGTAGCATTTTTACTCTCTAGAGAGTAAAAATCCTTTTTTTTGCCTCTAGGGACTTAAAATCAGCTGTTGCAAACGTTTGTTTCGATTGTATCAATCGCATGGATCGAAATAATCTCGATAACTAAACGAATAACGAAGTAAACTAAGTACTGTAATAACAAACTGGAAAGCGTTTTGAGAGGTCACCTTTTCACGAAAAGTATTTTCGTTTCCTAGCTCAGTTTGTTAATTAATTATGCAATATGCCGAAAAATATAGTTCATCAGAGGGGGGAAAAGTATCTTTTCAACCCTCGTTCATTTTCGAACCTCAGCTTCGCCTCGGTCGTGAAACTTCTAGCTCGAGTTGAAAAGAGTCACTTTACGCCCTAGTGATGAAATACACTTTCATAAATTATTGAGATGGGGACTCCACCTAGGTGCGTATTTTACGTAATTTCTCAGTAGCTTAGATGTTTCGTTACGAAGACGAAGACAATGCTAACAAAGCTTTCAACTCCTCAAAAACACAATACAAACACGAACTTTAAACTGTACGTATCACAAACATTTGGACATTAAATATTTAACTTAGTAGTTTACGTACCATTTTTAAGCTCCTGTTGTGTTTGTTTCAATTGACTTTTTGACTGATTGCAAGCTGTGGAAAATGTTGTCTTCGCAACGAAACACTACTGGTAATCTTTATCTTTGTACTGCTTGACCTGTATGTAAAATCATAGGTAAAACGTATTATTATCTTAACAAAATAGTCCAGGGGCCAGAAAAATGAACTTTGATATATTTTAATAGACGTAATTACACGCTAAAATACCACAACATTAAATATACATGATAGGTATCGGTATTACCATAAATGGCGAACATATTATGTGTATTGTATATTTCCTTCAAATAATTTTTAATTTAAAAATGTGTATTTATAATTGTTAGTTTTATATTTATCTAGATTATTAGCTCTTTATTGTGTTTCTAAGATTGCTACTTTACGTTGACATGTCGTTAGGAAGTTAATTACTTAATCAATAGTCCAATAAAATCGAAGCTTGACTTGCCTTACAATCTAACAAAAGGAGGAAACGTAAATTACACTGACTCTAAATACTGCAAGCAGACTTTCTTCTAGTAAATTCTGGGGCCAGTTTTCGTGTGTGAAATAGTTAAATTGTGTGAAAATGTATAAATAAACTATGAAGACCAATGACTTCGTTCTTCTTAAAAATAAAACACAAAACATTTGACTATCATCTTTTGTATTTTAACCTTTCTTCTCACTGATGTGCGTCAAGGCGCTATGATTCGAGCAAGTATAATTTTATTTTAGAAAATATTTATCTTTGTATATTCCTAGTTAAGGTATTTATCTTCGTAAATTTGACAACATTATTTATTTAGTTGTAGAAGTTTAAAATTCTTGTTTTCATGACAAATACAAATTAAATATTACAACAACTATATAGCTTTTGAACAAAACTGTGAGTGTCTAAATAATAAAAAATCAAGCCAGAACATGTTAGCTTTTAGGTTAAGATAGTCATTTCATTTTCACCATTTCAAAAATATTCTATTTCTTATCGTATTCCAAAATACATATCTTAACTATCCTAACCCAACCCAACTTTAGAAAAGTGCACCAGAATTTTTTGCCGAAACAATTAAACTGGTCCTAAATGATTGCTGTAAAAATAAATTATGCTGTTGCGCCGACTCAACCACCTGATCTAACACCACAGCTGGAGCCGAGCCTACAGCTGATCTGTTTATGTACACGTTAGTTCTTGTGTCAAGTCTCGAATCGTGCAGTTAAATCGTGCGCAGTTACACTAAACTACTGTATCAGCTGTCGCTGCGTCTATGATTGTTTGGTTTTGTGAACAGTGTCGAAGTTTTGAATTTATTGGTATCGGTGTGGGTTTTAACTAGTGTTTTTCTCATTTAGCTAAACCGATTCGTTAGGTGAATTGATTTGAATAGTGAATGTTTCCAAAAGTGAAATATCCTTTGAAAACCTGTTTGGTGTTTTGAATATGGTGTGATTTAGTGTTGAGAAGACCATTAGACTAATTTTAACGGTGTATTTGTGGTACTATAACATAAAGATATGAATTTTTCGTGCAA